GAGCAGTCTTAAAGTTTCAAAGGTACACCAAAAATAAAATAACATAAGGGCTATGGATGTGGCTCTGTGGGAGAGCATGTGCTTAGCACGTGTGAGGCCCTGGGTTCAATCTCTAGCATCAAAATAAAGACAATAACAAAATTTTAAAAGTGCTCTTTCTCATAGCCAGAATTGTGGAATAAAACCCACGGGTCTCTCTCAGCACATGGACTTGCATGAACCCTCTCATCACTGGGGGGCTATGAATGTCACCTAGCATCACAGTCCTCTGGGTCCTGTCTCAAGCAGAAGGCCTCTCTCCCAGGGCTGGACACCTCTTGGCTGATGTCTCCTTGTGGAGTTAAAGAAGACTTCCCAGATCCTCTGACAGGTGAAATAGCCCTACTCCACCATGCCGCTGGCATCTGATTGGATTATCCTGTGAGGGCTGGAGGCCGCTCTGCACACAGCTCAGGAATTCATTAAGGCTTCCCAGTCGTGAGAGTGATCCTCGGGGCAGCAGCGGGTGTGGGCAAGTCAATGTTCCAGAGCAGGGGAGCTTGCCAGAGAGACCATGCCAGATGGCAAGGACAACCAGGGCAGCAGAGCAGCCCAGGAGGGCTTCAGAAAGCTCTGCCAGGTGACTCACCTGAGCCTGAGGGCACAGGAAACCCTGCCTGCTTCCTCAAAAGAATGAGCAGACAGAAGCAGCACTTCTCTCAGACCCCAGCCCTGGCCCCATCACATAGTTCACTTCACGCGTGGATACGGGACAGCCACAAATCAACCTGTGGGATACCTGAAGCTTGCTCTTAAAACATAACTTTCCCTGCCCCCAGTTACCTAAGGATGTAGGTAGGACTTGATGGGAAATGTGGAAAGTGTAGAAAAATCTTACAGAAGAAGATTTAATAGTCACCAGAAAGGAAAACCCGTATATGCATCTAGAGCAGTATGGGATCAAGTTTAGGATTAGGGCAGGGTGGCCAAGTTTTCTCAGCCTGAATTCTAAAAGAAATGTTAATTGTGAAAATTCTTAAAAATTCAGAATAGAGAGAAAAGGAGCAAATGTTCAGATACCTGCCACTTGTTTTTTTTTAAAATATTTTTAGTTGTAGATGAACATAATACCTATATTTCTTTCTTCTTTTTTTTTTTTAAATAAATGTGGTGCTAGAGATCAAACCCAGAGCCTCATGCATGCTAGGCAAGCACTCTACCACTGAGCCACAACCCTACTCCCACTCGAGGTTTTATGTGCAGCTTTTTAAGTGTTTTAACATTTTAGTCAGAACTAATCTGTTGTGCATTTTGGGGGGTTAAGGATATTCTCTTATATAACCTGAGTTCAATTAGAGCTCCTTAAATTTACACTGATACAGTACTTTAATCTACCGTTCATTTTTCAATGTTGAGAACCTACTAAAGTCCTTGTCTCCAATCTAGGGTGAGGTACTACATTTTGTTATCCTATCTCTTTTACCCCTACTATACCAAATTTCACCACATAATCATTGCAGATTTTATGCCTTGTTTAAAAAAGTGGAGTAAGACCATTATGTGAAACTTTTTGTTTTTAAATTTGTTAGTATTACTTAAGCATCATTTATTACTAAACTGTCTTTGCTCCCATATTAGGATGCACGGAATTCTTATGCATATACGTTAGAATTGAATAGTCCAAATCAAGGCACGTTATTATTTCCTCCTGACAGTTTAGTGAATACTTCTCCTGTGTGGAAAAACAAATACTGTTAACACAGCTGATATTCATTTGTGCATTATAGTCAAAATATCACACTTTTGAGAAAATTTACTGGAGTGCTGCAAAGTATGAACTTAACAAAATTTAGTCTTTTATGTCCAAAGTTTCTGACAAGATATCATTGGTTTCTTTATCCAAGGCACGGTCCTCAGCGCCACCCACAGGAGACGTTTTCCAGTTACTAAGTACTGCAGCACTCTAACCAACCTGCACAAACCGGCCTTTGGAAATATGCTGAGATGCGCATGCGCTGAACATTCTAGGCTCATGGCTCAGCAGTGTGTGGAAGACAAGAGAGCGTCCATATACCACTGGTGGGTACAATGCTGCTCGGTGTACCTTTTAAGTAGTATGATGAAGACAATTATACCATGCACAATGACCAGTTTTGGGGGGTGAAAAAACAGGGTACGATGATTATGCAGTGAAATATGGTAGTGTGAATGGAAACTGACCCCCAATGCGTCAGTGTGGGGTCTAAGGATAAGCTGTGTATTACATCGTTACCACAAGTGTGGGTTAGTTACGAAAGGGGGTCCTTTCTCCCTTTTTCTCTCTTTTGCCCATATGACACTCAAGAAGGCTCTCATCAGATGCCCGCCCCTGATCTTGGACTTCTCAGCCTCCTGAATTATGGGACAATAAATTTCTGCTCATAATAAGTTACCCAGTCTGTGGTGTTCCATTACGCAGCACAAAATGGACTGACACTCTCTGCCCTTGACTCTAGAATATTTCTACAGCCTTTCTTTGTTTCGTATGATGTTGGCATTTTTGAAGGATTCACACTTCTCCATTCAGTTTTAATAGAATGCTCCTCACTTTGTGTTTATCAGATGTCCCTTGTGTTTAGGTTAAGGTTATGCATTCCTAGCCTGATTCCTGCATAGATGGCAGCCATCTGTCCCTTGTTGGTGATGTTAATTTTAAACCCCAGAGTTTGGCCCAATTTCTCCACTGTATAATTACTATTCTTTTTCTCCCTACGGTCAATAAGGAGTCTGTTAAGACAATGCAAATATCCCGCTTGTCACCAAAATTTCCTCTTCGGTTCAATATCTATTGATGATTCTGGGCATAGAGAGGAAAACTCAGGAGAAAAATGGAAACTGGCCCTTTGGGGTAAGTTGAAATATTTTTGTCCCATTGAATATTCCGGAGTGAGAAAGAAGGCAGTGATGTGAGAAGAAACAGGGGCCAGACTACAAAGGGCCTGAAGAGGTTTGGAGTGTCTGTTCTCTTCTGCAGGAGGTGGTTTGGGGGGTCACCACACAGGCTGGATGGAAGATAGGAGGGCAGTTAGAGGCCTCGCCATCATCCAGGCTGAGTTGGCCTAGTTCACAACCTGAGGGCCGGGAGCTCTGGGTCAGGGAGACCACAGATAGGGCAGCTCAATGTTATACCACTTCAGGGGCATGTGCGGAGTTAACAGCCTAGAGCGCTGGGTTTACTGTGAGTACAGGAACCCTTGTTTTAGTCATCTGCGTGCTGCTGTGACCGAAAGGCCCAACAAGAACAATGCAGAGGAGGAAAAGTTCATTTGGCGCTCATGGTTTCAGAGGTTCATTCCATAGTTGGTTGACTCCATAGCTCTGGGCCCCAGATGAGGCAGAACATCATGGTGGAAGGGTGTGGCAGAGGGAAGCAGTTTAGGACATGGCACCAGGGAGGAGAGAGAGAGAGAGAGAGAGAGAGAGAGAGAGAGAGAGAGAGAGAGAG